ATTTGAGTTGACAAATTGTCACGTAAACTTTTCCTCTTGGATAACCAGGACAGAAGAATTCTCCCTACCGTTCAGCTATGTAATAAAATAGCATTATGAGAATGTGAGCCAACATTTTCCACTTCCATGGTAATTTTGTTGTAAATTTTTAAAACACTTCGGTCGGCACTATTTGAGCTGGCAAATTGTCACATAATCTCTCCCTTTGGATAACCAGGACAGAAAAATTTTGCCTATTGTTCAGCTATGTAATAAAATAGCATTATGAGAATGTGAGCCAACATTTTCCACTTCCATGGTAATTTTGTTGTAAATGTTTAAAACACTTCAGTTGGCACTATTTGAGCTGGCAAATTGTCACATAAACTTTCCCTTTGGATAACCAGGACAGAAAAATTCTCCCTACCGTTCAGCTATGTAATAAAATGGCATTATGACTCTTGGCTCTTCATATCATTCCAAAGATTAGGGTTAACAACTCTAGGAAGCTTTCAAAAGCTTAAAGTATGATGTTTTTTTATTTCAAAATGTGCTTAATAATAGCCTAAATTTCTTAATATCGATCAAAGTAAAACAAAAACGTGAGTCAACATAGAAGTTATTTTGTTTCATCCTTACCACATTATTGCAAGAAATAACCACTAAAACAGTTTATTCTGTGGTAAAAATTATGTTACATTTTAGAACTACTGAAAACATATTGTTTTCACAGAATAGTGTTGTTGTTTTTTTTGCTTAATTTTCCTAGTTCCAAATTCTTGAAACACCTGTCTTATCCCCCCCCCCACGTGAAACGTTCACCCCTTTCTCTTTGAAAAATAGGAATATAAAGAAAGATAAACAGGTATCTTTTATGAAGAAAAACCACTGTCAGTAGCACCAGAAGCGTAAAAATAGGTGAGGAGGAGTCGAATGACCATCCCATTATTTTGAAAATTTTTAAATGTCCATTGTACTTTTTTTATTGAATAAACACTTACTTTTATCTAAATCACTTAAAATCTTTGTGTAGAAGAAAGAGGTCCACATTTTTGGGAGAAAGACTCTCCACTCTATAGTGCTTGCTGGCTATACTCCTGTGTGGCACAGTTGTTACCATGTATAGTTAGTGTTTATGGGTATTTAAGTTCCTAATTCGTAGTGTATATGAAAGACTGTACACTTTACATTTTTCTTTTCGCTACACACACGCGCTCGTTGGTATATCCAGGGAAAAGTACCTTTTTAGTTAAGTGTAGTTTTGGTTATATCGTTCTTTCGGTAATGAAGAAATGGTTTATAATTTCAACCCTTGAAATTCACAAACATGAAGCACAATAATAAATAAATTACTTGACTCGACATAATGAAGTGTTAGCACTAGTATTTAAAGGATGCATATTTTACTTTACTTAAAAAAAAAAATCCGGACATGGTTTAATGATTTGCATGTCAGGCTGTGGTTCGCGCTCTTGGCTGAGGTGTGTTATTGAAGTGACAGTCAATCTCGCTATTAGGTGAAGATTTGCAGTGTAGGAAGCGGGTGCTGTTGACAGGTTGTCAGCCCCCTAATCAGGAGCTTTAAATTAGGGACGGCTCTGGCTGTACTTTGGAGGTCTCTGATCTGCCAGTTCAGCCTATGTGTCCCATAAGGTGTCATTCAGGTTGAAAATAGCAACATAGTTCAGAAAGACGTCGAGCTTCAAATCACAATATGAAATTCGTTTTGGCATCATTTTACTACTGTCCTGTAAATGGAATAATCGAACTATTAGAGATAAAATAGGTAAACTCAAAGGAATGTAAATTGTAGACGGTGGTAAGCTGAGCAGCTATACCTCTTCCAGCTATATCAACGCAATTAAAAAGAAAATTGGGGATGCAGCTAGTTTTGGAATATTTAAGCGAAAGAAAATATTTTTCGTGGTTGTTGTTGACACTTTTGAAAACAATGCAATTTGAAATTACAAATGTTTGTTTATAGCCTTTAGTATGCTATTTTTTTACTCTGCCTTTTACTTATAGTTCTTCCGTTAATATGTAAGGAGAATAAATGAATAAAAAAAACACGTAAAAAACAAAGTTGACATTGGATGTTTCGTATTTGTATATTTCATTTATATTAGTGTTTCCATAATCAAAATTTTTGCTATGATTTTTATAATACCAGAAGAGTACAAAACGCTATCACATTTCTCCCTATGCTTAATGAATGGTAATATCATATATCATATACGAAAAGCACAATTTGTATTTATGAAACATAAGGATAAAAATTCACCAGATCTTGGTGTACGTTTAAACACCGAGTCTGCGAGTCAGAGAGTCATTTTTGTGGAATACTTCTCAAACAAAGCTTTCAGTACTCCCCCTCCCTCCCTTTGTCAGTTCTGAATATAGATTTCAACTCCTTGTGATATGTGGAATCTGAGTTGTCCACCAGCGTAGCCGAATTCTCACTAGTTGACAGGCTACGATGGAGTAAAATCTATATCTCCATCTAACCACTCCCCCAAAAAGAAGCAGTAGCTGCAAATGTTGCGTAATACAAGGTCTGGTTCCTCAGCTCTATTAAGCTTTTTCTACGAGGTTTTCACGAGTTCTGTCGTTAGAGGTGCGAGAAAGGCTCAACGAAGCTTACTTGTTACTGTAGGTGGCTAAGTGTGGTTCGTGTCTGAAATAAACAATTCTACTATTTTGTTAAGAGGGGGTGGCACAATTCCGCCAACCCCTAAACACCGCACCTTCGTGGCCGAACATTATTGAGAGGTGAGCGTTTTTAGCAATAAAATGTGATTTATTGACTTTAACAGATCGATCTCTTTATCGGAGTACATTTTGTTTTGCTCTAACCCTAATACCGAGAACAGCGATATTCTTCTATAGCCTACCCAGTCCCCCGAATTCGATCTCATCGATTTGAAGACTGGGTGTTAAGATAAAAGATAAATAAAAATATGCGTTCAAGAAGGATAAAGAACCGTGAGAGTATTATTACAATACATGTCTTACATGTATATTTGTGTATTATTTTGTGTTCGATAGTTGAATTTAGAACACAAAACTATATATATATATTTAGCTACGAATTTAAACTATAATAATCTCATTAGTTGTCCCAAGAATCCAGTATTATTGTTACAAAATATAACATAACTAAACCAAAACTATTAATAAATAAATTTTAAAAAATGTTAAGGCCAACCCTTATCATTCATATACATATCAAGCTTTCTCTTGAACTCACCCATTCCAAAGGCCAACCACCATGTTAGAAAAATAAAACTATCTTAGCTGACGATGACTCCTACCCTGCTAAAATATATCTTTGTGTCCCTAGTCTTACTATTCTTACTGTTAAGTATGAAAAAAGATGATGCATCAACACTATCAATTCCCTTTACAATCTTAACACCTCATCATATCCCCCTAATTCTTCTTTTTTCCAGAGAAAATCATTTGAGAG